CCCAAATCCCACTAGAAGACGGCATTATAGAAGTCTAAGCACTACTGAAATTGGTGAATCTTACCATGCCACGGCCGATATAAACATAATTACCACGTCCACAATGGAGGGTAAGGATAAGTGATAAAAAAATGATGCCAGGGTTGTTAAGTCACAAGACCTTGTTTTAGAATGAATACAGTAGGAGAGGGATGGGAAAACACCTGTGATGCCCTCAACTAAGCTGTGGATTGGGTAATATCAAAGCAGTTACAACAAACTCCGCTCATTTCCAGTTGAGTTTGGTGCTTGGAATAGGTGGAGGGGACTATCATAAGGGTAGTCAATTGAAGGACTGATTTAATGTCACCGGAAACGATGCAGCCGTCTGGCAACACGTTCGCAGTCACATTTTATTTCACTAGTCGGATGTTTGTTCACAGAGCAAAATGTGTAAATATACATAAGCCATAAAGGGGCTACAATTCGACTTTCGTAGTACTTCTAACAAATCCACTTCCAGACCCGAGTGCTGCATAGAGCAGTCAAAAGTGCCTCGTGATGGAGAGGTGCAGGAAGCCCAAATTATCATACACGACTGTCTACTGAATTGGTGATTTGCATCACGTGGTGTTAAATGCCAGACAGATTTCAGTCTACTTTTTTTCCACCATCTCGCGACTGCGACGGTTAGTCAGATAGATAAAAAAATGGAGGCGGAGAGACAGAGGGTGATGGGAGTGCAACCGACGTCTTTCAGGAAGTGAGACAGAGGCAGTCGACGTGGCGTCAGGTGAATTCCTCATAAACGTTGGCAGCCACGTGCACCGAAACGGGATTTCATCACTCGAGTCTCCGCCGCCCCGGTACATAATGCAGCGCCTACGTCATGGGGTTTAGTAAAGTGGGATGTGTTGGGTTTTGAAAGGGTGTGATTTACGCTTCGATTGTAGTGTGAACGCACACAGCGTCTGGAAATAACATTAGCGTAGTGAAGAAGGAAGGGAGCTCGATAATCCTCTTTTTCTCACTGTAAAACTACCTCATGCAAGTTCGTCTCTTTGTCTGTTGGTGTTTTCCCACTCGCAAACACATGCCTCACCAAGGTCTCGAGAGGGAATGGACTACCACGATCCGCAAAAATGTCCAATCTGCAGTTTTACATGCTACTCGAATGTAAGAAAGTAGTTAGCCCCAAAGTTAAAAATCTCGCATTCATTCTGCTCTATCATACTCCTATGTAAAAGACTATTTGGTAGCAGTTAGTGATCATAAACTGATAAGGTAACGTAATGGCGAGGGAGAAAGAGGGCACGTGAATGAACCAGGGCTTCATTGCAATATGCGACCTGCCAGTCAGGATGATCCTAACCTCAAAACCTTCAACAAGTTAATGGTAGACCAACAAGAAAGAATGGTCCTGCATTTTGCTCCCACAAAAGTCAATTTTGATCTGGTAATAAATGCCACAACAACAGCATTCAATGTGGCTCATCTGGTTGACTAATTTCAGAAGATACGGAAAAAAGGTGCGACACTTCTCCGAGAAATGAAACGGAAATAGCACAGAGTTAAAAGGAGGTAGGACTTCGTTCCAGACCAGTGTGCCTTAAACGTCGTCAAAGGAAGCTAAAGCACAACAAGAGCATGAAATACAGGATGCGGTGTCATAGCATTGAGGGAAGGCTGAGAGAGAACCCTCCCAATTAAGCCAGTCCATTCACGCATCACGTGGTGGCAAGCGGAAGAGGAATGCTGGGCATAAATGGCGGAGGAGTCTAAATGCATCCACACAAAGTCTGAAGCGATGTGTAGCTAGGAGGGTGGTAATAAGCCTTTTCTTACGAAGGAACTTAGCAAGAGGAAGTGGAGGAAATAAGGGGAAG